ATTAAAGTAAATAAAACTGAACATGTAACATAATGGCAATAAACTTAGTTTAAATATAATTTGGAATATGGTGAAAATTAGGAAATTTTCAATAAGTTACGGTATTATTTAAATTGTATTAGAATGTTCTTAGCAACAATGTTAATGATTTAGTATTTTTCAGTATAATAAATTTTACATGAGAAATTGAAAATAAAAAATAAAAAAATAAGTACTTTTAAAAAGAGATATAAGAAAAAATTGGAAATAAAATATTACTTAATCATGGTATTCTATTTCAGAATAAAAATAACAATAATAATATGCATATGTTAGAACATCACTGCATGTGAAACATATTCAGGATTGAACAATGGTATAAACATTCAAATATTTAATAAAAAAATAAAACAATATTTAAAGTTTACTTTTGAAGTAAAAAAAACTTAAATAACTGAAAAATTAAATATTTGATGTTTCGTTTTTCAGAGAGGGTATGTATTGCATAAAAATCAGTTGGTTAAATGTACTTGTGGCACTAAAAGAAATCATAAAATGGGTACAGAAAAATTTGCAAAAGAAATAGAAAAAGACTTAAAATTTCATGAAAATCCATTTACATGAGAAACTAGTCTAATGCAAAATATATGCACGTTAAGTGCAAATATTGTTGTAATTTTGTGAATTTTGAGTACTTCAAATATTATATTAATTTCTTTGTTGAATAACTAATCTTTGGATAAGAGTATGATTTAAAATAAATAATTTGAAGTTGGCAATATGAACATACACAGAAAAATGAGATAAAGAAAGAAAAATAAATAAAATAAAATAAAGTTAAATAAATATAAAGAAAGAAAAATAAATAAAATAAAATAAAGTCAAATAAATACCTTGAGGCATTTGGTGGTTCTTGGAATATTATTTAAATAAATAAATAAATAAATAAATCCTTGAGTGAAGAATATAAGTTCTTTAAGAAAGTAATATTCAACATAAATTTTGCAATGCATGTATATGTATATATATTGGAGCATTGAAAACTTAATAAATTTTAACACATATTGTAAATATTGCATTTAGAAACTTTTTTTTTCTTCAGAAAGATCTGAAATTTTGGGAGAAAAAAAATATTGTGAACTCTATGTATATTTAACTCATTTTTTTCTAACTCCAAAAACATTTGTTGTGTGGTCAAGTCAATACTCCCCTTGCTAATAACATAAACCACGAATGCAATCAAACATATATATATATATATATATATATATATATATATAATCTGATAAAACCTGATTTTTTAATGAAAGATTTACACTTCCAAACCCAAAAATAAGTATACTTATTATCCAAACCAATTGATATAAATCTATTGCCGCAAAATCAAATACTTTTTCAACAAACAAATGTCTACTTTGTCAAGGTAGTTACATCTTCATGTTCCAACCATTGAAACAAATTACAGTTACACACATGTAATGTAAAATAAAGAAAAAACGAGGACTTTTAAGTAAACAACCTCACATTCGATGAATTTAAATTAGGTCACTCATCCACCACCACCTTGGTTTACTCTCCCCATTTGAATTTGGGTCCCTTTCCCACTAAACCACAAAGCCACTGCCCAGATGGAGTCAAAGTTTGCTCATGAAAATTAGCTTTCGAATTAAATAACACAATTAATTATAATTAACATAATATAATACATTTAAAAAGAAGAAAATGTAAAAGAAAAAGGATAGAGAATGATGAACACACACACTAATGCACGTACCCGTCGGATTTCAAACGGGTATGACGAGTCCACACTGAGCGTCCGTGCAGGGACACGTGACAGCTCAGCACGATTGACTTGGGGTCCCTTGGCCAACTAAGACAAATTCCACGACAGCATATATCGGCTGCGGGCCTGATCGTCCCAATCACTGACCTGCATCAGTCCACGTGGCACACATTACAGACCGGAAAGTGTGGCGGGAGATCAAAATTGGCGGGGCCATGGGAAGGAAGGTCAATGGAATGGAAGTCCTAATTTGGATGATTAAATGAAGAGAGAGGAGGGTCGGGCTTTCTCAGACTTTGACCAAGTGCCCCCCCCCCAACACCCGTTCTCTGGTCATCGCCGGTGTCCCATTCCCCGGGCCCGGCACGGCGCTCGCTTCCTCCGTTCGTTCGACGAATAGATGTCGTTGGATGAAGACGTCCCGTACTCCCGCCGCGGGTTTACCTCACCGACGGATTTCCGTTTTCTTACTTTCGCTTTTTACTGCGCGCTCTTTTACTTTCTCCTTTTTTCAGTATATATATATATATATATATATATTATCGTATATATATTTTCCTGGATTTTTTATTTTTATTTTATTTTTTCCTAATGTATAAATTTTACTATTGAATTTATTCATAATGACAACATTTATATTATTTCTTTTGATTTCTTAGTATTGAATTCATTTACTAAGGGTGTTGGACACTTTGATCATAATTTAATTTTTACTTTTCAAGTTTTCTTGAATATGTGGACTTCAGCCAATCAACTCCGACATGACTTTAATGAAATTGATGGAGATCACAATTTTAAATTAGTTTTTATCTTTTTTTCTTTTATTATTATTTTTGAAAATTATATGTATACATATATATTATTTTAATTTTTTAGTATATCAGGAATACTATATTTAAAATACTAATCAAACCTATTTTACTTTTTACTTGTTTTATTCCTTCTTTTGACATAATAATAAATTTAATGGTATCTGTAGATCTTGATATGATGTCTTCTACATTTTATTTTGATTTTTGGAACCATCATTTGTTAGTATGTTATTTTTCTTAAAACAAATTTGATTTGGTGTGCTCACGTTTGTGAAAGACTTGTTGAATTACAATGTTGCTCATTAAGCCCCTCCTAAGCTTAAAAAAACATTGCAAATTTTTGGTAAGATAATTGTAATATATATATATATATATATATATTATTCTTCCTCTAATAATTTTACTTTTTCATTCTAGTTGGGGATTTTAATCACACCCAATGCCCTAACCCAAATTAAGCCGCACACTCAACCCTATTGCCATAAACCATGCCACCACCATATCATTCCATTTCACACATCTCATCCAAAATAGCAATGACAAAAAAAAAAATTAAAAAAACCCACATGGGTGAATGGCTGTGTCTTCCTTGCCATTTGATTCACCACATGATCATTAATTTTACATGAACAAAGCTTTATCTTTTAAAACACTTTTTAAATTATTTTTTAATTTAATTTAATTTAATTTTGTTTTTTTTGGAGGATTGGAGGGGGGGGGTAAGTATGTGGATGTACACAAACAAAAAATAAACATATAAAAAAATTAAATAAAACAATACATATGGGACAAAGCATGGTAAAAAGAGGTGGTGGAGAATGGGTAGTGCACAAAAGTGGGGAAAAAGGGTCACAATGTTTGTGAGAACTTGAGAGATCTCTAGAATGCCATTTGATTGCCTACATGGTCTAGCAGTCAATAATTATTATAATAAGGCTTTTATCATACTAACTTCAATGATTTTTTATTCTATTTTTTATTTTTTGCTATTTTTTGAATGTTTTAATGTTTTGATTTATTTTATTTTATTTTTCTACTTTTTTCTTTTGGCAAAATCAAGATTTATACCTTCAATTCATTTGTGAAAACAAAACTAAATAAAGTTTGGACACACATTTTTTTAGGGAATTTCTTGAGTAGGGAATAAACCCTAAAAAGGAACACTAATTTCCAAGATTTTATTGTGTTTACCATGATTACATGTTATCACCGATGGTGTCAGCGAGGCATTTTATTACAACTTTATTACTTTAAAAAGTTCTTTTTCGTCACGAGAGGTATTTAATCGCGGGCTACATCATGCGCACGGGATTAGGTTCCAGCTCGTGCAGGAGTAAAGGGGAAGGCTACATCCGCGGTCACAGGTCCAGTCTGTAGACGTCTTATCGAGGAGCGGTGGTAGGGACCACTTTGTAGGGCACAGTTCCCCTGACTCCGGGGAACACGTGTGATCAGTTCCCCCCCCCGCAGCGTGCGCTTAAGTAGGGGAACCTCCTGGAAACTTCTCCAAAGTTGGATCCAACATTATTTTTGGGGTCACAATGAAGTCCTTCAAAATGCTGACGTGGGCTCTCATCCAATAAGAATTGTTTAATGTTAATTATTGAAAAATATTACACGATAGTTGATGGATTTATTATTTATTATTTAAATTTTTTGAAAGGAAAAGCAAATGAGTGTAGGCGTTGAGAGATCATTTGGTTTAATTTTTCCTTGATGCTTTGTGAATAAAAGCCATCCTATTCCAAACATAATAATTATTCATGTGTAATTGCATTTTATCATGGTCATATTTTCATGAAAATGACTTTTCATGTATGTATATATATATATATATATATATATATTTAGATTTGACTGTGATGTAATTAATTATATTTGTAAGTGTGATTTTGATAGAATACCACTTTGTATTCCATTTGCTCACAATAATATAATGGGTTTTTATGAAAGTCTCAATGGTCTAAAAACTTTGATGTTCACTGATTAATTAACTGTTTCATTCTCTTACATGCTTATGTAATCAAGGTCATATGAGCTATCATTTTATTTGCTCAAGAATTAGAAAAAGTGAATTAAGTTGTTAGTTTTCTAATTAAAAATCAAAAAATTGTTATCAGCAATGTTTGTTTTTATTTTTATTTATTATATATATATATATATATATATATATATATATATATATAAAATTTTCAAACATGTTTATTTATTTATTTATCAATGTTAAGCACTCTAAGATGTGTAATGCAAGATCAAATAGTATAATAACTAAATGAGTAAATAAACAAGATAATTTCCATGGTAACTAAAAATACATTGTAGTTGTTTGGCCAGAATTTTTTTGAAACAATTTAAACAGTGCACAAAAGATATTCAAATAAACGTGTTGGATAAAAATATATATGTAAATGAAAAATAGTTTAAAATAGAGGGGGAAAATCTTTATGCATTAATTTATTTACAAGAAGAGCATTACAGAAACCTAGTTTGGAAACCGAGAATCATTCGAGTCCTAGAGGTCTTTTTGGCAAACCTGAAGTATATAAAACTAAACAGGAACACGTTGGGTTTTTTGCTTACTTACTTGAATACTGTGAGGTAGCTGGCTGGCTGATTGAAGTCTAAATTAAAATTCTTTGTTTTCGGCATCATCTCTAGTGTTTGGTGATGGTTACCACAATAAGTTGCAAAAAATGAAATTGACAGACACTATAACTCCTACCAGCTATGGTGTACAGTACTCTAACCCTGCTTGGCTAGAATGGAAAATCCATCTTGTAGAAAACTCAGAGCCAACATTTATTGCTGTTATTACAATGGCCTTTAACTCGACTAGGAATTGCTACTAATTGGACTGACTCGTAAGTAACATTAAAATGAGCTCACCACAAGTTACAAAGGTGAACACTCGTGTGCCACTCACTACATTACACTTCAATATCTAGAATTGACGCTGAGAGATGTCAATGGGAATTTCTTTTCAAAAGGGACTAACCAAACGGGCAAGTTGCAGAAGAAATTCCGGCACAAGTCTTCGACGACAATATGCCCTCTTGACATCTTCCGCCTTCGCTTCCTCATCGTTTGCATGCACTACGGCCAAAATGTCTGCCAACAGCTCATCCTTCCCACCTCGCATTGGATCCTGCAACCAAAAACCAGAAATATCTCAGTGGTATAATTTACTACAAAAGTGGTGTGCTAATTCAAATCTAACAGAAGCATAAAGTTAAGCATGAATGCTGGCATGAACCTCCTGACTTAATAGAGATACGAGTAGATTCTTGAACTTCAAGGCATTGCTACGGGCTGTTCTCTTCCAGTTATGTGAAATTAGGGTAGTCAACAAATTAACCCTCGTGAGCCCATAAAGAGCATAGAGTCATCTATTCCATGTGCCAAGATGAAACCTGGTGAATAGTATGAGGCAAACTAACGCCTCTATTCAATACAATAATTTCCAAAACCCTAGGCCAAGTATGAGGAGAATAAAACTCCATGGATCTCTCACTCTCTACAAAAGTTACATTTGATTAAACGAAAACTACTTTTACAACATAAATAAACCCAAGAGAATAAGAAAAAACCTGCAAAAACAAATCCGTGTGCGTCTTGTTTGGATAAAAAACTGTATTGACACGTGCACCCACCAGTCGCAAAGCAACCGCAAACGCCACACTAAACACATCAAAATTCAGCTTGAGATTTTAATACAACTAATCTAATACATAGACCAAAGCGTTCAGCAATTAAAATCAATCGTCCAATTATAGTTCCAACAGAGGTGCCACACTACCCATGGCAATATGTTTTTCAGGATAACCACCGGACTCATACGAGGGGGAAAAAAGAAAAAGAAAAAAAGAAAAAAAGGCGAGAAAAAGAGAGTTAAGAAGAAGGAAAGGAAGGAAAAAGTGGAGAAATACCTAGAATCATGAGGGATAGAGTAATCTGCTGTTCCATGGTACAAGGTAATGGGAGGAAGCAGAGGGACAGCCTTCCTGAAACTAGGTGCCAACACCATGAGTTCTGGAGAATAGGTTGCCAAAGACTTCTCCCCCTCCACCATACTACGTGTGCACAATTGATAACAATAAATTAGAATCCGAACTTCAGAATCTGTTCATTACGACTACTTTGGAATCTATTAATTTTGATGATAATATCAACGTGACTTTCGTTTTCTTGAAATGAGCGTTTTAATAGTCAATTTTTAGCCCCAACACCAATAGACAATACAAGAGATCCGCAAGGAGCTGGGTACCTTAAGAAAATTGATTTATAGAGACCCCTTTTATGAAAGTGATCCACGAGCTTCGTGAGATTATATCTGCACAAAACTAAAGCTTAAGAGATGATGCTTCTTAGAGAACCTAGTTTAAAGACTAAAATACCAAGTTAGATTCATCATAAGTTTCCCGTTACCCGTCAATGGATAAATTCTGCTTCGGAAGGATTAATAAAGCATTTACATTAGCGAGGTAGATAAACAGAAGGAAATGGTGCTTAACAAATACATACTCAAATCAAATTACTTCAACTTACCCGCCTGAGATAGCCATACATTCTTTGATTTGAGATGACCTCCAAACAAGATCTGCTGGGTCTTGAGTTATTTCTTTCTCTGCTTGCTTCAACAAAGCACAAGTTGCAAGATGCGCTCCAGCAGATTGACCTGCCAAGTAAACCCTGCTCAGCATTGCAGAAGTAAGGACAATCTGTCAAGAACAATTTTTTTGTATGTTTACAACATCCACGAAATTGATCAATAAAATAAAAGCTACAGAAAACATAATAATAAAGATCAAATATAAGACTAACTCCACATCATGAAAGTTATGAACCCTCAAATATTAAAGCACAACCTAGCACACCAATGCATTGCAAAACGTGATCTGACTTACATGTTTGGGTCACCACCATAGCTCTCAAGCTTCTGAATGACATAACCTATCCCTGTTTCAACATCAGAAATCATATCACTGATGCCGCCCTGCGGGAAATTTCTGCAATGTCCACATTGCTCGTAAAGATTTTGAATGCTTGTGTATATGTGCTTGACAGAACAACGAAGCTAAACATCAGGAATAACAATATGACAGCAAAATTCACGAAAACTAAAAACAACATTTTCGGGTTCGTCCAAATATCAAACCGTCATAAACCTGGGTCTAAAAGTTAAGTCACAAACTGAGACATAATCATGTGAAAGAGTACAACCGACATGCATCCTGAGAACATGTGTTCTCAAAGAGTATTGTCGTTTCCTAAATCTGATCAACATGAGGAAAAAAAAACACTAACAAACTCAATGAAGACATTGGTGATGACAAAGTTCAATACATGCAGCATGTCTAATGGCCATAAATACAAGGTTTTAAGGAGTGTTAGGCGGCACCTGTAATCAATGCAGGCAACAATGATATCACAATCCACAAGTTGTTGCGCTAACAAAGTTCCCCACGCCTTGTACCTGAGATATTTATTTATTAAAATGCATAGCAACTAGTTGAACCACCAAAAATCATGAAGTGAAGAACTCCTTCGAAAGGAAGCGTTCTTACCCAATAACCCAAGCTCCGCCAGTTATGAATATAAATACCGGCTTTAATTTGTCAGTGTCGGGCGGTAAATACAAGTCGAACCTGTCCATCATTGTCAATGCCTAGTGTCATCAAGTGGAAAACATCAATAATGGATGAGAAGACATGACATGTAACAAAGAGAAGGAAAAAAACAAGGAAAAAATTATTTCAAATAGAAAACACATTAGTCTCAGAATGATGAGAAATATTAATGAACATTAAACCCGACAAACAAAATCACTGAAAATAACCATATCGATAGAAACCCCGAGGCTCCATGATGGAATTAATCAGTGAAGTTGGCATACATTATTGGATTTGCGATGTAATAGTGCTTTCTAATATTGTGTAGATCAGAGCTTGATAATACAATTTTAAATTATTCACACAAAATATAGTCTCACCACAATCGAAGGTATTGTTCCTAACCTGTTCCGAGGTTTCTCTCCATATATAAGGCTTCGATGTATACGTGGGTCATAATAATAAGAATATCCAACTGCAACCATAGAAGCGTCCGTTTAAAATTTACTTACAAAAAAGAACACACATTAAACATCCCACTTGTTGCCACGATAAAGTCCAATATGACAAATTAGCGCTTGAACTACAACTTCGTACAGTTGCTGTCACTGAAATTTACCAGCACATTGACTGTAAAAGTGAAAGCAGAAGAGTGATGAAAAGGTTCTCGTAGAATAAAGCCGCCTTAAGCTAATGGGTGAATCACTAAATAACAAAGATTTAATTATGGGCCTAATAGCAAAGAGCATTGGTGTCAAATTCACCCTGAATAAAGCCTATCATGAGGAACATTGCATATAGACTCAGACGGATGAACTTGCTGATCCATCGCGTTCCAACTCTGTTCCATCAAAGCAATGAGTATCTCTTTCAGATTCTAAATGCAAGTGACGAAAAGGACAATGCATAGAAAAAACTCAAACTTGTTACATGTTTTAAATTTTAAATTGACTATAGCATCAACATTAGCGACAGCATAAAAAATATAAATAGACCCCACAAGTCCATGAAGAGCAACCACGGAACATCAAGATGAAAGTACAATAAATTCAAATCTATCAAATTTATTTGTGATCGTGTCTAACGCAACTCCATAAATTGAAAGAGTAATAATCACGCGAGGCCGACAACAAATAGGTAAGCCAGAAGGAAAGCCATCAAAGTTATGACTGTTATACCCAAGGAACTTCAAAAGCGTGAGGGCGAGCCGAGTAATCAAGTAGGTCTCAGCGGCTGCGGCCTGCACGTCCTGTGTGAACTCTTTAAAAGAACCTTGACGAAGAGGACCACCGCCTCCAAATTGGCTTGGGCCTGAGAAGGTCCTTCGCCGCCCGTGCTCAGCTCCCGCTAAAGGCGTCTGCTCAAACATTTCATTGATCATTGGAACTTCACATACGGCGGGAAAAAATGGATAATAAAAAGAACAGAAAAGTATTTCGAAAAGCTGTCAACCCCGTGGGTTGAATAATGTTAAAATCGACTCCCACCCGTTTCGTCATTGTTTACTAAATTATGACCCAAATACAAACGCTGCCACCCCTGCCGTGCAGAACTCTCGCAATGCATAGCGTACTGCTTGAACAATACCTAATCCTTTCAAACAGAATTAACTGAAGGGATGTCCCGCACCTGTTACATAATAACTAACGTTCCGCCTATCATCAGTGATCTTACACAACGATCTGAAAAACATACGCCTTGTTCAATTCCTTAGACAATACTCAACGGTGCATTCATTTTTGCATGACGTTACTGAGCAGAACTATTTGACAGGGAATTGATTGTGACTTTCACAATTAGCTGAGGAGCAGTTAAAAAGGTACGTCAAGCTCTCTAACAATCCAAAAAACACAGCATAACCTACCAACCCTGTCTACTGTCTCTCCACTCCGTACAATTTACGCATCCAAACAAGAACATAGTCAAATCCTGTGTTCAAAACACCCTTGCTGGCACCTAGATAATTGTGATAACACGCTACCTAATTTCAGAGCCCCTGCTCTGTGTTCAGGAATTTCTTCCCCGAGGTGATCCTTCAATTATGTGCTTCACGATTAATCCTAATTCAGTACCTCAAAAAACTACCATTACGCCAAGAATAGAATCGCAATTGACAAAGCATTCCGACAATCTGCTGCAAAATAAATAGCCACGAAGACATCCTCTCACCTTCCGACCACAAATTATCACACTAAGGCTAAGGAACTCAACAATCAACTATACCAAACAGTTAGACAAAAACGAAATAAAATTAGCTGCGTTCTCACACCCGCTGCGACGACAACCTAGGCACGCCTCGGGCAGCGACCTCCGATTGGAACCGCAAGACCTTACGGTGATTCCCATCTTCCCGGTCCCTGTCTTCCGCCCCCACACCGACAGCCTCCTGCTGCAAACCCACATCCGTTTTCATGGCACCCGAGGCCGTCGATCGCAGCTTTACACTCCCAACACACACAAAACCATCGCCCTGCACCTTCGCAGACGTCATTCTACTTCCTCCATGTCTAAGCAACCCCGCGCTGGGCGCCTCCAAGCCCCAACCCGACCTCAGCATCATCGTATCATTCTGAATCTCCTCCGCGGGCAACATTTCAACAACCTCCTCCAAATCGCGCTTCGCCATGCTACTCCAACCACCACCTCCTTTCGCCGCCCTCGCATCAATCTACATTTGTCGATTGCCAGTACCTCCGTACTCCAATTCATGGTGAGATCAGCTGCATCCTGAACGACGACGACCTCGCAAGATCGGACGCTTGACCCGGAGCTTTCTCCCACCGCGCGTGCCCGATGCAGCTCGCCCGCCGATGGCGTCGCACAGGATCGTGTGGAAGGGCATGCTCGCGGGGCCACTGCAACGAACAGCGTAACGACCACTGCATCCAAATCTATAGCATGTCGGACCCCCGGACGAAGCGCGGAGCCTGGCTGGCCCATCGCGGCATTCAAACTGACGCAGTGGCGGGAAGCGTTGGCGGCGCGGCAGTTCGCGTCAAGTGGTCCCATCACCAAACGCGGTGCCGCCGCTGTCGTTGTCTTCTGTACTTTCAAGGGTCACGTGTCTGACGCGCAAAAGACGATCTCGGCGCATCCCCACCGTTGCTTCCAGCGCCGCCTAATTTCAAAGAGAATTCAGTACACTGGTTCAAATTAATTCGAATGCATTTCGTTTAGAGCATGGCCACAGTTGGCGTCAACAGTAGGCTCCGCTGCCCCAGCTTCGTCGAGAGTTCCATCGTGGGCCGTTCAGTAGTCTCGGCGAGTCCCCCCACGGCAGGAAGAAAGATGTCCCCAGTGGCATGTCGTGAAGACTCGTACTACGCATGGTGCATGGGCATGTGGATTTTGAACAAATTTTCTTCTTTTTTTGCGTGGATTTCATCATGGTAGGAAAGAAACCTATGCCCGAAGTTGTACAGGAGGGAGGTCGAGTGTGCCAGTGTGCCCTAGAGTGAAGGGCAAGGTGTATTGTTGCAAGGAGGATGTGCAATTGTATTGCATTGTGTTGTATTGTGTGATATGATTGTTGGCAACCAACATAGAGTTAAGATGGTCTAGGAGTGCATTTCAAATCACTACAAAGACCAAAGGCTTGCAGGTGCAAGACTACAATGTTTGTTGGAGATGAAATGAAGCAAGGTGAAACACTACATAAGTAAGTAGATTGGTGTATACATACAAGTGCAAAAATTGTGCAAGAATGGCACTAGTACAACCAATACCTTGAGGTGTGCATACAAGTTATATAAGTAAAAGAGTGACACATGAACAAATTTTGGATAGGAGCAATCCACCTTTGCAGTTAGAGCAATAGGTGTAATAGCCTTATAAGCAAAAAATATCAAAAGAAAGCTTGATTTAGTCTTCATGCTGATTTAGTGAAAAAGAGGGCCAAAAACAAAACAAAAACAAAAAAACCGTAAACAAAAATAAGTAATGATTATAGTAATGAATCTTTGGCTAGCCAAATTTTTTTTAGTGCAAATCCGCTAAATTACAAATTCTAATAGCAAAATTCAAAAAGAAAAGTTTTACTCAATGTTTTCCTCCATATAGTGAGAAACCACACATTACATCATACGTCCAACTTATACCAAAGAAATAATGTCAATGACATAAATCTCAATAAAAAAGAATCTTAACACATTCTTATGTTACTTAAAAAAACTAAAAAATTACTAAAAGATAGTAATATATTGAGTTAAAATGGCTATTGCCAAAGACAAGAAGGCTAAAAAGACTTGAAACTAGATTAAAAATAAGAAAGAAATTTACAAGAGTGAAGAAGGTTTTATTCTTGCTTCTATATATACTATCTAACTAGAGCTATGTATCAATATTTTGTAGGACCTCCAATACGTATTGACTTTGTTAGATACATATCTTAACTTGCAAGGTAAGTTTTTTATATGTGTACCACATAGTTAACTTGTTCTACAAGCTACCAATACTTGTGACACATGGTTAACTTATTGATCAAGTTTCTAACCTACCAATATCACAGAAATATATATTTATTCCAATTGTTACTTATATGATTAGGTAGAAGTACGTAAATAAAGTTACCTTGTAGAGAATATTATCTTAGGTAAGTTGCTAATGGTCAAAGAATTGACTCATGGTATTTAAAAAGGGCATCCTATGGATATAGGACAAGGTTAAGGACCAAGAGTCAAAGTCAAGAGGATAAAGTATGTATTAAGAAATATCCATAAACTATGTAAGAGTAATTAGTGTTTGGCATAGGATACCTTTTTGGTTAGTAAGATGCCAAAGGATGCAAGGACCATAGGATATTTTCAAGGTATGTTAGATACCAAAAGATCCTAGGACCAAGGATCTTATGTGTAAAAGTCAATGAGTGGAAGTTGTCTTATAAGACAACAACCACAACCTATAAGTATTGATTGTTGGAAGTGAGAGATATCTTACTTCATACTTTCTGTGTGTACAACCTTACTGATGCTATATGTTGTGACTTCAAAGTTTTATTTCTTCAATAGGTTATGGACCCACTCACCTTTAGTTGTGAGTTTTGAAGTTCTTTAAAGTTCTTATGTTGTTATAAAGAGTAGATCTTATGATTGTTGCTAATGTTAGAGTTTTTTTATCTTCTAATTCTCTTTTTTGCATCTAATTATTGATATAGTTATGTTCTTACTTGCTACTAAGTGCATTCATGGTCTTGGAGATTATTATACACTTTAAAATATTATTTTTGAATACTAGTAGTACATTTCTTTGCTGACCTACCTCATTGATACACTAACATTGAACTTTCATGTGCTTAAGTTCCTAATAGATCTTCTTATAGTCAAAAGAGGTGTTGTGAAACATTAGAGGTGATAAAAGAGTTGTAAGCCTTGTAAGAGAGGTTTTGATAGTGTATAAGAATTGTGAGAAGTCTTAGAAGTGAAGTCGAGAGTGATCAAAGAGTGAAATCACTAATTTACTCACAAAGAGGGCATTCTAGTTTTCCAAGGCAACAATACCTTCTTGTTGATTTTGAGAGTTCTATCTTCTCTTTTCTTGATTTTCTTTGATCCACCCCTTCTTTAGACATGGCTTCAAGTAAGAGTGAGGGCTTGAGAGTGATTGAAAAATTTAGGAGTGAAAACTTCTACCATTGGAAGATAAAAATAGAGCTTTTGCTTGCTTCATTGAACCTTTGGGACATTGTTGATAAAAGTGAAGAGCCTCCTAGTGATGATGTTGATGTCAAGGTGAAGTAGGAATACAAACAATGTGAAAAGAAGGCTTTTAGCATGATTGCATCAAATCTTGATGATGCCAACTTTTCACATGTTATTGCTTATAATGGACCAAGAGAAGCATGGAAGACTCTTTGTAATATCTATGAGAGTAGAAACCTTGTTAATATTCTATGGACAAGTTCTTAATGATAAAAATAAAAGAAGGAGATGACCTCATGGCTCATGTCAATAAGATAAAAGCACTTACAAACCAACTAGCACTTGTTGACAAGCCACTTGATCATAGAGAAATTGTGTTGACATTTCTCATGAGCCTTTCCAAGTCCTACAACTACCTCATTAAGGCATTGGAGTGTATCAATATGAAAGAGCTTACCATGAATTATGTTACATCAAGACTTGTACATGAAATAACTAAGAAGAGAGAAAACGAGCTTCAAAGTGATGATTCGACTATATTCTTAAGATAAGGTAAAGGTAGCTTTCCACATCAATGTGATAATTTAAAAAACAACATAAGAAATTATTATATTTATAAAAAACCAAGTCATTTTGCTAGAAATTGCTACAAGGCCAAGAGAGGAGATAGAAAAAATGCAAATAATGCTAGTGATAGTTTTGGTAGTGATGATTATGCTTTCATGGCAAGTCAAGGAGCCTCCATGGTTGCCATGTCTAAGTGGATTATAGATTTGGATGCCACTAAGCACATGGTACGATATAAGTGTTCATTTGACACTTATGAAGCAATTCGAGCAATAAAAATATGGTTGGGAGATAATGACATATTACAAGCCATTGGAATTGGCTCCATTGTGGTGGAGATTGTGATGAAGGGCCAAATGAAGAGGATCAGATTGAAAGAAGTCTTACATGTGCCAAAGATGAAGGAGAACCTTCTTTTGGTAAGCAAACTTATATCACATGGTTGTAAAGTTCAATTTGACATAGATGGGTGTTTTGTGAAGACATTGAGTGGACAACATGTTGCCAAAGGCTTTAGAGATGGCAACCTCTACTTCATCAATTGTAAGAAGGTGAATGGAGTTGAAGTGGCGGCATATGTTGATTATCCACAAAATCAAACCAAGTTTGGCATTTGGCATCAATGACTTAGTCATTTGAATGCCATAAGTATGAAGGAGCTCTAATCTATGATAAGTGGCTTGGATCTTGGTCAATTCAGCCACAATGCTATGACACTTACTTGTGAAGGTTGTATTCAAGGCAAACAACAAAGGGCTTCATTTCCAAGTGGAATTGCAACATGTGCAAGCAAATTATTGGAGATGGTTCATTCTAATGTTTGTAGATTAATAAAGATACCATCGATTAGAGGAGTAAGGTACTTTGTGACATTTATTGATGATTTCTTAAGAAAGATGTGGATATATATCATAAAAGCCAAGAGTGAACGTTTTTCAAGGTTTAAAGAATTCAAGGTAGTTGTGGAGATGCAATGTGAGTGCAAGATGAAAGTGTTGCACACGGACAATGGAGGTGAGTACATGTCAAAGCATTTTGATGAATTTTTGAGATATCAAGGCATTGCAAGATAAATCTCTACTCCTTACACTCCATAATAAAATGGAGTTGCTGAAAGAGTAAATTGCACCATTGTAGAGATGACAAGGAGTATGCTTTATGCACAAAACCTTGGGCATGAATATTGGGCAGAAGCTATGGTCAATACAGTGTATACAAGGAATAGATGTCCAACAAGTGTACTTATATCAATGACTCCACAAGAAGCTTGGAGTGGCAAGAAACCTTGTATTTTACACATGAGGATCTTTGGATGCATTGCTTATGCAAAAAAACCAGATTGCATGAGATCCAAACTTGATGCAAAGGAAATAAAATGTATATTTGTTGGATATTATGGATGTACCAAAGCATATAGGTTCATGTGTTTAGAAACCAAGAAAATCATTAAAAGTCGTGATATAGAGTTTTTGGAGCATAAGAGTGCTTGTGAGCACTTGGAGATGTATTTAAGAAGGAGTAATGGTATGTTTGTGGACACATCTTTAAATTCAGCTATGAAAGAAGAAGAAGATGATGATAATGCTAGTAAAGATGGTGGAATTTCAAATCAAGATGAAGAATCAAAGAAGATAGATTATGAGGTGCCT